GTCATCGGTCAGGGGGCTCAGAGCTGCCCAGGTGCATAGGGGGCAAGTGGGTCTGGGCAAGCAGGTAGCATTGTGGCCCACGGTTTCTGTGTTTGTGATAAAAATTTTTTAAAAAAATTTATTTTAGAGCTGTGGGTTGCATGTGAGAATTTGCTACATAAGTAAATTACATGAAGGCAAGGTTTGGGCTTCTAGCAAGCCCTCTTTCTCAGTAGTCGGCATGATACCAAGGGGTGGTTGTGTGCCCCTTTCCCCCCCCTCCATCCCTCCCTCCTTTAGTAGTGCCCAATGTCTGTTGTTCCTACCTTTGTGCCCGCATGCCTAGTGTTCAGTGCCCACTTACGAGTAAGAACATGTGGTATTTAGTTTTCTGTGTTAGTTTACTTAAAATGATGGTCTCCAGCTGCATCCATGTTGCTGAAAGGACACGATTTTGCTCTTCTTTATGGCTGCCGAGGATCCCATTGTGTATATGTACCACGTTTTCTTTATCTTGTCCGCCTTCCATGGGCATCTGGGTTGGTTCCTTGTTTTTGCTATTGTAAATAGTGCTGCAGTAAATATATGCATGCAGGTGTCTTTTTGGTAGAACGATTTATGTTCTTCTGGGTATATTCCCTGGAGTGGGATTGTTGGGGCAAATGTTAGCTCAATTTAAAAAAAATGTTAATAGAAAATGTTCAAAACAAACAGCACACTTAAACTAGAGATCAGTGTATGGGGAGCCCATGTACCCTCCATGTACAACCATCACCACCCCTGGCGATTCCTGTCCAGTGGGGCCATGTCCTCCCTGCCCTAGCCCCCACCCACCAGGTGATCCCAGGCATGTTAATTTTCTGTCTGAAATATGCCAGGGTCTATGTCAAAGACAAGGACTGATGACAAACAGCCGCAGGGTGAGTGTGAGGGGTTCTGGCTGCAGGTTTTGCAATACATCCTTGTGGCTGTGCCTGGGGTGGGGCCGGCACTGCTCCCAGTCTGCTGACCATTCGGGTAAATCTTTTCTAAGCTGCCTGGCTGTGTTGGAGTCATCTTTGCACAGATTTTTAGACTCAGTTCTGTCCTGTGGCTTAGAGCTGAGACCCTGAGTCTGGCCCAGCATCTATGTTGAGAGCTTCTGGGTCAGCCTGAAGCCCAGACCAAAGTCCGCTTGCTGTTCTGTAGCTGGATGCAGGTGGGGTTGCATGACCTCCCCAGGGCCCTTTTGGAATTTCTGTCCTCATGGGCAGGCACTTGTGGGCTCCCAGCTCCCAGCAACCAGGCTATGCTGGCCTGCTGGAACAAGTGTTTCATGTCTGTTTCATTGGTGTGGGGACTGACCCCAAGTGGCACCCATGAGGTAGAATTATACTGTCTTCAGTTCACCCCCAAGTCTCCCTGTACTGCCTTGGCCAGGCTTGGAGTGGGGGTGGATAGACTCAGCCTGGATATCCAACCCAGTAGCCAGAGTAGCTGAAAATGCAGGATGTCAGGTGACCAGGACAGGGCAGCCAGTGCTAGAGGGTTCCGGATGTCTGTACCTTCTTCCCGGACTGCAGCCTCAGTGCAGGCCAGAGCAGTTGCAGAGCTGCTCTGGGTGAGTCCTATCCAAGCCACATATCCCCTTTCCTAGCCCCGGAGGAGGGGCTCTGGGGATCCAGGCAGGGAAATTCCCGCTGTTGTGTGATAGAGCACTTGTGTGCCATTCCTCACTAGGACCAAGGCGGGGTGTGGTTGTGGAGGGCTACTTTGTGAATGTCTGGTATGGCAGGCCTGGCTGTGCCGGACTGGGCCTCTCTTCTTTCCCTCCCATCAGTTGCCTGTGCCCAGCCCCAGGGCTCCTGGCAGGGGGCAGTGGTGGCCTGTAACTGGAACCTGCTGGTTCGCAGAGGCAGTGAGTGGTGGTTTAATTAGTTCCTCATGGAGCAGACAGGCTGAGGCCACTGTTGGCATTTGCTCGCCTCGGTTCTCACAGACCTCACCTGCCCAGGAGCCATTTTTTCCAGTTTACTTAGCGTAGCAGGTAGAGGTACCCTCTGGCCTCTGCTCAGGTGTAAGGGCCTTGCTTTGGCATGGCTGACTGGGCACAGTGGCCAGCACATTTTCCAAGATTTTCTTCTCTCTGCAGCGTAATGTCAGGACCATGACCATCAAGAGGTTTAGCATCACTCATCCAGTCTTAATTTTAAAAATATTCCTTAAAGTCGACCTCATGGGGGTTCCGAGGCTGTCTATGTTGTCTGAGATGTCCCTTCCACCAGTAGAGGAAGCTGGAGTGGATATGGGTCCAAGGCCCCTGTCACTTTGGCTGCCTGTTGAGCTGTGCTGGTGTTCCGGAGGCTGCAGCAGCTGGTCCCTTTTGGATGCCACCACTGCTCTGTCTTGAGGCCTTCAGGCACCTCTGAAAGAACCAATTGGTACAGACACAGGGTGCTTGAGGCGGCTTCCCCTGAGCTTTTGGTAATTTTCTTCTAGGCTGGTCCAGGGACCCTCATCATGGCCACAGGAGTCCAGGACTTTAACCGAACAGAGTTTGATCGACTGAATGAGATCAAAGGTCATCTGGAAATCGCCTTACTGGAAAAGCACTTCTTACGTGAGTATTAGAAAATGTGTGGAAGGGCAGGAAATGTCCAGGGGTGGTGGCTGAGATGGGGGATGCTGTCTTGCTCAAGAGCTTGGGTTGATGAAGACCGATGACAGCACTGTCCCTGGACGTGTGGATAGGGACAGCTGTGGCCCCAGAGTGGCCCTTTGGACTTAGAAGTCCCCACACAGCCTTGGCCTCCGAGTCCAAGCCTCCACTTGCTGCTCTGCTGAGCCCAGCACTTGCAATTTTTTGATGTTGGTGGTTTTTCCCCTGTGGGTTAAAGAAGAGTCTCCTGGGGGCAGGAATGAAATGTTCTGAGGACATTCTGCTAGTCTTAGTGAATTGGTCCCTTGTATTTGTATTCTTAGTGGGTAGCTCAGAATTTGTCAGAGTTTTATGAGAGACTCTTACATCTTATGTTGTTCTGTTTGGTCTGCACATCAAGAAGGAAGGGGAGACATTGGAGTCTCATGTCCACTGGCCTTGGCCAAGTGTTCCTGGCTGACTGGGGATTTGACCTCTGGGGTAGTGAGAATAGCAGAGATCGTTCTGGAAGGACCTGTGGTTTCTTTGCAGATGTGACCCCATTTGACATAATGTCTAATCCTCACTCCTTATCTATATCCTCCCTGTTGTACTGATGGGGAAATGGAGGCACAGAAAGTTAACTGAAGTCCCTCTGCCTTGAGGTGAAATCCTCTGACTAGTGAGGGGACACTTACCAGTAAGCCAGGCAGATAAGCCCCAAGGTCCACACCAGTGACCGTGCTGCATGACACACGTTTTCATGACACTGTGGTAAAAGTGCTATTATTAGGAAAAAAATAAATTAGGAAAAAACTAGCTTCACCTCTGTGTGCCCAGAGCCAATCACTTCTGAACTACACAGAGCAGTGCCTAGGCCCCGGGGGAAGGGGCCCTCAGTTGTGGGGAGACCTTTGCCACGGGCAGAGGCTTAGCACCTGGGCAGGCAGGTCACCTCACTTTTGGATGTCATGCCTAGCTGGAGCCTTTCTTGATGCTCTGGGTCAGTGCCTTTGCTAGAAGGGTTATCATCCTGATTTTCTATCCTTGGTTACTGGCATCTACACTGGTTGTGCCTCAAAGACTTGGGCTGGGATCTCTGAATCTCACAGAAAGTCTGACTTTCTTCTTGCTGACCCAGGGACTGCATAGGAAAGCACTCAGTGAATATGAGTTGGATGTAGCTTGTCCATTTTAGTGTAGATACTGGTTTTCCTGACTGACCAGATGCCAGTGGTAGGGAAAAATCAAGTCTGTCCACTTTTTAATAAAGTCCTTGAGTGGACTACGAGAAGCTGGGCCTTGCCCTCCTGCTGTGAGGCCAAGGGGATAGCAGAGGTTGCGATCCTCCTAGGGCTTCTGCCTGCCATCTCTGAGGCTCAGGGGGCTGGGCGCCTGGCTTGTGTGTGTCCGCATTCATGTGATGCTTGAGAGTCGAAGGTCAGTTCACATGGCTCTGTGGGTTCACTCAGTAACTGGCCCAAGAGTGATGTGAACCTTTTGTTTGTGGGTATGTCTATGGCAATAAACTGTGTGTGTGTGTAGACAGCATAGTTAACTCTGTGTGTGTGTGTGTGTGTGTATGGTGGTAGCTAATCCGTGTGTGTGTGTGTGTGTGTGCAGTAGTAGTTAACTCTGTGTGAGTGTGCACATTTTCATTTCTGTTCATACTCCAACAGCTTTTTTGGGCCCCTGAGGACTAGACATACCAGTGGTACTGAGGGCAGCTCTGGTGATAACACCCTGGCCATGCCATGGAGTGACTTGGTCTCCCCATGAGTCTTTGGTTGCCATGGTGCAGGCTGAGGGACTGGGCTGCCAGGCTGCTGATGGTGATTGACCCTCTTGATTACAGTCCTGCTGTCTGCTGCTTGTGATGACCTTAGCCAACCTGAGTGGAGGCTTTGCCGGGTTTTCCGGGTCTTCGTGAATGGAGGTGTCCCCTGGGTGGCTCTGGGTAGCTACAATCTCTGACTGAGGCCTGCTGTATGGAGGATGTTCTGGGAGACTTGGAGAGCATAGTTGGACAGATACTAATCAAGTTGGCAACCATAAGATGCTGCCTCAGCATCCAGCTGAACCTCATTAATTACCTTTTTGTGGGTCCGAGTGGTCGAGTATTGATGGTTTTTTGGTGGGGAGGTGGTCGATGTTTCACTTTCACAGCAGATGCTCTCAATGCAGGGCATCTAACAGGGAGTCCTGGCCAGGAGCACAGGGAGGCATCTAGGAGAAAAGGGGTTACTGGGCAGAATGGATGGGGAACAGGCACACAGCATTAATGGCACGCCTGTCTGCTCATAGCCGCTTTGAGATGGGTGGGAATTAAGTTGCAAAATGAAGATGGTGGAACTCACAGGAGTGCCTCTGGGGCTGAGGGCATGCATAAGGAAAAGAGGCCACCCAGCCACAGAACACCATTGTGGGGGTCCTTGGACCAGCACTTGTGATTCTGTCCTCATTGTTGCCAAAGGAGTGTCTCGTTTTACTCCTTGGTAGCTCATAAAGTGAGTGTAGAGTTCAACTTTAATAGTCTATGGTGTGGTGATTATGGGCATTAATTTTTAGTTATGGACAATTTCAAGTATATATAGAAAGAAAGCAAAGAGTGTTATGGGCCTGCCCTTTTTTTTTTTTTTTTTTGAGTTAGAGTCTTAGTCTTGTCTCCCAGACAGGAGTGCAGTGGCATGCTCACAACCACTGTAGTCTCGACCTGCTGGGCTCAGGTGATCCCTCTGCCTTAGTCTTCTAAGTAGCTGGAACTACAGATGCACACTACTACCACGCCCAGCTAGTTTTTGTGATTTATTGTAGAGACGAGGAATCACCAAGATACCCAGGCTAGTCTTGAACCCCAGGCTTAGGCAGTCCTCTTGCCTTAGCCTCCCAAAGTGCTGGGATTACAAGCTGAGCCACTGCACCCGGCCAGGCCTGTCTTTTTGAAGCCCACCCTCTGCTTCAAGGTGAATCAGTTGCGCACCAGGCTGGCTTCTATAGCCCTCCCCCACCCCTCACACCAACCAATGCTTTGGGGCAAATCCCAGCAAGCATCCTAGCATTTCATCTGTAAATATTTTAGTAGGTAGTGCAGCATGTTTGAAACACAAAAGCTATGAGTCTGCTATCACAACTAAAAGAAAAAACAAACAAACAGCTTTTCATTAATATCATCAGATATCTAACATAAGCTCAAACTTCCCTGATTATCTCACATTTTTTTTTACAGCTCTCTTGGAATCAGCAACCAGATAAGGTCTCTGTGTTGTGGTTGGCTGGTCTATCTTTCTACTCTCTAACTTGCAGGCTCTCTCTGCGTTACTCTTTTTGTCCCAGGTTGTCCAGGTCATCTGCTAGGTGGAGTCTCCATTCTGCACTCTGCTTATGGCCTCTTGGTGGATTTAACACATGGCCTAACATGGTCCTCTGTCCCCTGAATTTCCCACACCTCAGTAGACTTGGAATTTGGTTGACCTATGGGGAAGGATCCCTTCACTATTGGTGAGGTGTGTATCTGTGACAGCAGCCTCTCATTAATGTTAACGACTTTGATCATTATTATTGCTTAGAGCCATCGTTTCATTAGAGGTTGCAAAATGTCATTTTCTACATCTGTCATTCTTTCTCGATTTATTAACTGACACATTTCTGAGAACAAACTTCTCTTTGTCTACTGTTTGGTTATTCTGAGATATGGTTCATATGGAAAAAGCAGGGTGCATGCTTGAATCTGCCCCCTCCATTTTTTTCTGGTTTTCAAAATAGTGAGTTGAATCCTCTACTGAAGGCTGTCCACCAATGAGGGTGTTGGCCTTCTGTGTTTTGTTTTTATTTTTTTGGTATTATCATGAGATCATGGATTTAAACATATCTGACATGTTTTAATCATTGTGGTTATTATCTGATTGATGCTCAAATAGTTCTGCCTCCTTTGCTTGGCTTGAATCCTCTTGACACAACCCAGTTGTCTCTGAGAAATTCCTTGCTTTTTTATGTGACAAGACATTCCAAGCTTGTCTCAAACATTTCCTGCCCAAGTCCTGGAATTAGCTATTTTTCAAAAAAGACCTGTTTCAACCGGGCTCGGTGGGTCAGCCTGTAATCCCACGCCTTTGGGAGGCTGAAGTGAGTGGATTGCCTGAGCCTGCGGGTTCGAGACCCACCTGGGCAGCGAGACCTCATCTCTACAATAAATCAAAAAATCAGCTGGGCGTGGTAGCGCATGCCTGTAATTCCGGCTACTTGGAAGGCTGAGACGGAAGGATCGCTGGAGCCCAGCAGGTCGAGGCTGCGGTGGCCGGAAGCGGCCACTGCACTCCAGTCTGGGCGACAGAGTGAGACTCCAACTCAAAAAAAAAAAAAAAAAAGGCCTGTTTCCTATTGGTGAAAAGTGATATTTACACACTGTATAAGGATCCTAGAACACTTATTGCTGCTGGTTGGTCATGGCGTCTTGACCTTCTTGGTGCACAGGGCTAGTTCTTTATGAGTGCATGCAGATAATTCTCTTGGAATTCACATCTAAACTCCTGGGTTTCTGTTTAACTTCATCAGCCTTTTAGTGTATCTTTCTTGTGTGCTGAAACCCTGGTTCTCAGTGAGTGCCACTAGCATTACTCATTTGTTTTATCCCATGATAATACACACAGGCTCAGAATAAAATATCACAAGATTACTAAATACAGTTTGTATTTGTTTCTAGTTCTTTTGTCCTTTGGGTATGTCCCACTGTTGAAGTACAAATTATGATGTTTTCTGGACACTTGCAAGAGTTTTTCCCTTCTTTGTGGCTGTATCAAGTCAGTATGGAGTTGGGTTCATTTGTTTCTATGTACTTCAGAGTTTTAGAGACTGCTTTTTTTTTCTTTTAGCTTTTAATTTTGACACAATTTCAGACTTACAGGAAGGTTACAAAAATAGTATGAAGAAGTCTTATGTATTGTTCAAGTTATTCCCCAAAAGTTAAAGTTTCACCACATTTGCTT